AAAATATTTTTTTCCAGATTATGTGCTGAATAAGAGACATCCCTAAGCATCAGCTACTTGCTCTAGTACTGACTAAGACCCTTAATGTGTCTGAAGGTTGGCTGGGGGTTGGAAGGACACAGAGGAGAAAGGAGAAGGTGATGGGAGGGAAGTGGGGGGAGGAATCTGCTGCTTTTTCCAAGATCCAGAGCAAATCTTTCACTCCAACTGGCACTCTCTACATCAGAACCAGACAAAGTACCTGCAGGAGCTGCTCTGCAGGAGTCAATATATTTGTATTTCTGCTTTTAAAAATATCGCTCTAATAACGCCAGAGATTAGTCCAAAAGTGGCAAGACAGAAAGGCAGGAGATCTATGCTTTTTAATATCAAGCTCTTCACCAAGATGACTTTTATCATGTTAATGGCTAAATCACACTGATTGTAAAAGAGCCAAAATGAGGCAATTAGTAAGGGCTGTGACAGGCTCAGAAAAGGAAATGCACAGGGTTTGCAGTGCGAGCCAGATGGATATCTTCAATATATTTCTTATTGTCTGCTTGTGGTAATATGTTCAATTAAACTAAGTCAGTACTACAGAAGAACCTTTGAATTGCCTGAAAAAAAAATTAATTGTCTGCTGCAAATTTAATGAAGCTGAACGCTTGTGTTATGTTTACAAGTTTTATTTGTTATGATCACTAAGTGTTTACATGAAAAAAAAACAAAACACAAACCAAACCCTAACTGACTTCGTTCAGCCCTATGAGCAAAACACTGCTATTTGATTCTATTATTGGGGGTTTATTTCATTTCCATGACTCTTTGCTATTTACTGGGTTTGTCTTTAGCAGCTGACCTAATTTTTTTCTCTGCCCAGCGAGGAACCAGCAGCTCTTGCTGTGCTGTTTATTCACAGTCGCTGTGAGGTGAGTTCAGCTCTGAGTTGAGCCTCACTCAAGTGTTTGACCACAAATCCGTGTTATGATTTGTCCCCAGATGGGCCATGGGCTGGTCCCTGTGACTCTCACCACCCTCCTCCTCAAGGTCTGGGCCAGGAGGGCAACGAGGATGGAGAAGGGCCTTGATTTGAAGGCGTGTGAGGACACTGAGGGCACTTGGTGTGTTCAGCTGGAGAAGAGGACACTGAGGGGAGACCTCACCGCAGTTCCAACTGCCTGGGAAGGGCAGAGGAAACCCAAAAACCTTAATGTATGGTTACTCTTCCTCTTGGGGAAAGAAGTAAAGTCTCACCTCAAGGAACTGATCTCCTGGTTACTCAGAGGCCATGACAGAGTTGAGGACAGCTGGTAGAATTCACTGGCATTCACTGATTAAAAAACCCACAAACCCTTAAACAAAACCTGTGGATGTGAGGAAGCACAACCCAGTTTCTGAAGAATGCAGCTCAAAACTGATCAAGGGAGGCTGAAATAGAGACAACCAGCCACAGGTGGCAAGATGGGGCAGGATGACCATCACATCCCACCAGCACTGTCACTGCAGAGGAAAAATTCTCTGTCCTGAATTCAGCAAGAATTGCAGGTTTAAAGGCAGCAACACATGAAGTCTCTGAAAAGTTCCTCGATAATAGGCCAGAATTTTGAGTATTTAATCAATTTTCAGTGCAGTGCAGCACTTCAACGTTCACCCAGAGGAATAGGTTTGGAATGAAAAATCTGCTATTTTATAGAAAATAATTTGAATCACTGTGCTGGACAAAACCAAGACTATCAGTCTATTCAAGCATGAGGAAAAAATAACCCACTGACATTATCTTTGTATTCTTTTACTGCTAAAGTGATACAGATTCCAGCCAACAAAAGGTCTCTTGCTTTTACTGCCATGAGCCCTCCCGTGACAGAGCCAGCAGCAGTAGGAAAATGTTAAAGGTGCATCATAATTAAACAGGCAAATAAAGTCATTGGAACCTGCCCTTGCCAGGGAATGCAACAACGTGACAGGAATTGCTGCACTTCCCCAAGAGAACAGATATGCACCAGCTCTACCAAGCATTCAGGGATAGATTTATATAGGAAATTATATAAATGTATGCATTTTGAGATCTAGATGGATGTACAGCTCAGCCCACAGCCAAAAGGGCAGCAGATGCTTGAGAAGCAGCCACACGTGTCTGTGGTGGGCACCACGATCCACTCACCTCCAACATCCCAAAACCAAAGCTGGCCACACATCATAGCGTGTCTACTGGCAGAAGAGACTTTCTTATCCTGGTGATGCACTTTTATCATCTCCACTCCTCTCATCAGCTTGTTTGGGTGCCTCTTCCACACCACACTTCATGTGGGTCTTCCTCCTTGCTGCAGCTGGGATTTTAACACCAGGAGCCTCTCCTGGCACTTCCTACACCCAGAGCTTTTATTGCAATGTCTTGAAATTAGTCTCCTATTTCAGCCTGCTGCTGCATCAGCCAATTTCTATCACTGCATTAAGTACAAATAAACTCATGTTGTGCAGTCTCTGCCTGTTTACACTATTTGTCATTTAATCCCCTGGTACTTAGAAAGCCTCTAATCTTTCTGTGTGTTGGAAGAATTGAACATTTAGCCTCAAGTACAGGAAAAAAAAAATGAGGAAACAAGACGGAAAATTAATATTTATACAATACATGGAAACACACACCATGTTTTACAGAGCTCTGAACACTGTCTGGGATTCTTCTCCAGCCCTATGGCCTCAGTCCTGCTTTTTAACTTAAAGGTCAAACTGTACCTGCAAGTTTCCAAAATTTCAGGTCGTGGAGGCCAAGAAGTTCTCATTCAACACCAATCAACAGCACAAACCCAAACCACAACTGCACTGGTTCAGAAAACCACTGGGGTTCAGCAGTTCTGACAACAGAATGTTAATACCCAGCCCTATGGGCACCTGTCCATAGAATTTGATATTTTTTAAACTGTCTACTCATGCATAATATGAATATTTATTCCTCCCTCTCTGGTTGTTTACCAGAAAGTTATTTTAAGCTCCTTGGTTGTGGTGCAAGATATTCCCCTACTCCTCCCATCCGTGCCTACACTGTCTGTGACACTGTTCCCCAAGGAAGAAAATTAAAAGAAAATAAGGATAACCTGCAATATTAATGGAAGAACACAGGAAGGTCACAAAATAAAATGTCTTTTGACCTTCACAGTTTTTTACTCAATGACATAAGAGGAGTTAGAAAAGAATGTGAGCGTATCTTAAGGTCAAAAAGCACATCAGCTGATGGATTAGTCTTTTTGTCCACCACAAAACTGAGTTAAAATAACTAATTCAGTCATATTTCTGTCCGAGCTCACACATGTTTTACTTAGGGCAGAGAAACCCAAGCATTACAGTCCATAATACAGTATTTGACACAGTTCATTTGGAGTTCAAAATAGTTTCTGCTCCTTCCTACTTTTTATGGGCTCCACTAGGAAATTGCACTCCTCAGATTGCCGGTAAATTCCACACCCTGGGCTCGCCAGTCCATTCTCTGCTCCATGCACACGTGTCGCTCCCATTAATGCTAATGGGATGGACTTAAAAGGGAGCACTGAGGGAGAAAAAAGCACTTGCTAATCCTTTATAACCTCCCCAGCGAGGGAAGTGATTTGTAAACCACGTGAAGCCAAAGCTCAGGTACCGCAGCTGCCGAGTCCTGTGCTGGAGTCACGGGCAACTCCCTGGGCACGGCGAGGGAGAAGGGATAAGCCCTGAACTACAGAACCTTGACTCTGACAGGAAGGAATCACTGCTGTTTTCAACAACTGGCTGTTTTTTATGGTGGTACAAGAGGTCCCTGAGCTGCAGACTCTGATTGAGCCTCCCGGTGTCGTGCAGCATGTGGAAAGCCAGGATAACCTCAGTTGTGCCCAGGCTGGAGATGAACAGCTGTGAGCACTCAGCACTCTGCTGCCATCCACGTCGAGCCTGGGGAAGGGCATTTGGGCTGGGTTTGGCATTTTGCTCTCCAGTTTTGCTGCTGATCACAGGTTGCCCAGAGAAGCTGTGGCTGCCCCTGGATCCCTGGAAGTGTCCAAGGCCAGGTTGGACAGGGTTTGGAGCAACCTGGGCTAGTGGAAGGTGTCCCTGCCCAGGGCAGGGAGTGGGACTGGACAGGCTTTAAGGTCCCTTCCAACCCAAACCATTCTGAGATTCTGTGGTTCCATGACCCTTTTGCCAAGAGGCAAGGTCTGGTTTATGTTCTTGTTTCCTCAGCAGCACTTTCCCAGCTCTTTGCTGCAGGTGCCTCCTTGGGAAAAGACAGATTCAGCAAAGGCAGAGTCAGCTCAGACAGAGCCCTAATGCTGGCCTTCACTTGGTCTCTATTTTTGTTTGCAGGGACCAACGTGGGTAGAGGCAAATGCCCTACAAGGTACTCAAATCAACCCCAAACCCACAGAACTGTTGGGGCCACACATTCCCCTACAGACTTCACAGAATCCCAGATTGGTTGGGGTTGGAAGGGACCTCTGGATGTAATCCAAGTGTAAAAAACATGGGTTAAAACTTGCATTGAAGTATTTTTAACTATTCCCTATACACCATACAAATAATTGACAAGGAGAACCTCTAACTGAATATGATCCATCAATGCCAATACATGGGAGAATTAAAACTGACAGCACTAGAGCTCTGTGATTGATTTATGGCTTTGTAATCAATCTTTCCTGATCTGTTATCCAATATAGGTTTTTCCCCAAATAAGAAGGAGATGGAGAGTGATTGTAAGTGTAATAACCTATATGTTCATTGCCTATAATAATTCATCAGACACTGGGCTACTCATAAGCAGGCCAAAAATTAATTCAAGACATTTGTCAGTGTCTCTCACTGTTTATCAAACCATTCCTTTAAATGCCTTTGTCAGATGTTGGAGCTTTAACTTTTGAAAATCGTATCTGCCAGAAGACGAACGGCCACGAATAAAACACTCGGAATTCCTGAAAGGCAGAGACGCAGCCCTGGGTAAGGAATAATGAAAGTCAGCTGGACTTTGTGCACCGATTGTGGACAGCAGAGGCTGCAGTTACCTTTCACCACCAGGCTGCCTGTGCTGCTCGCTGTCCCAAAGTGGTTGGTGGCCACGCAGGTGTAACTTCCCGCGTCCGATTTGGTGACGTTGACGATCCGGAGGCTCCCGTCGTCCAGAATGGTGATTCTGCAACGACAGCAGGCACACAGGTTTTAAGGGTTTTTTTTGTTAAGTCACCATCAAGCTCTTTTGAGCGTGCATTACTGGTGGAAGGCTGGAGCAGCAGACGCCGCGCTGCCCCTCGCAGGGGGAGGGAAATCTCTCGGGACGCGCTTCGTGAGTACCAAACGCGCCATTTACACGAGTTTTCTGTGTCTTTACTCCGGGGCAGCTTTAATTTACACATCAGCAGCTCGTGTAGCTTTTCCACACGCCTGTACTTCGATATCCAGCCCTCACCATGACAACCCCTGTGACATGTGGCGCTCGGGGAAACCTCGGCGCTCCCGATGCAAGCGCTGCTGCTGAGCAGCTGCACTGAAACGGGTGCCTCAGTGCTGATTTTCTTCCAGAAGGCTGATGGCTTTCCAGCAAGAGGACCACGATGCCAAGCTTGCTCTCTACCTCCCTGCCTGTGCAGAACTCAGCCCACAGATCTCCTCTGCAGTGGCGCTTGCAGGTTGAAAAGAAATGATCCTGTTTCATTCCAGTCCTCTCCCAAACCCACCTGTTTCCCATCTGAACAGTGTTATCTGCAGTGGGACACGTCTCTTGAGGGCAGGAGGCAGGTGAGGATGGAATGTCAATCCTGGAGTGATCCCCTGCCCCTCCTCTTGCACAGAGGCTGCACCTCAGGCTCCCCCTGTTCTCACAAGGAGCTTTGTCTCTTGTTCCATTTTTTTTTCTGCTCTGAGTGAGTGGACACAGAAAATCTGATGCTGCCCAGTAATCCCAACAAAACTTGAATGACTTGTGCCCTATGGAGGCATCACCTAAGGAGACTCTAGAAAAAAACCTTTCTCCCAACCTAGTATCATCTCTTTTAGCAGAACTCCTGTCTGTCTCCTCAGCATCGTGTCCTGCAGCACAGTCTGCTTTCTCACCTTCAGCCACTTTCAGACCTGCATTGAAAATCTTGTCTCAATTCCTGCCTTCTCCTGCTCAATTATTTCCCAATTTAACTGAAATGAAGGAGCCTTCCTGCATCCTTAATGCCAGCAAAGCTCTGCACAACTGGACTGAGAAATCAGGAGGAGAGAAACTCAGCAAACAGTTCTTGCACCACTGCAGGAGGGCTCAGGTGGCACTTCCCACCTGAGGAGGCTTTAAGGGACAGCAATCAGCTGGAGCCTTTTCTCACAGGCATGGGACAGCCCTGAGGCAGCTGGAGAAAGGACCAGTGTGAGACAAGGCACAAACAAAAGCACCGAGACCTCCTTGGTGGGGCTCCCCAGGCTCCTGCCAACTGCTGCCCTGGGCTGGCCATGGTCTCCAGAGAGACTCAGGAGACATCACCCCACTCAAGGGAGCTGCTGTGGGTGCCTTTTGTCATTCCATAGGCTTTTTGGTGGGCACACACGGGCTACTCAGCCCACCTGCTTCAAAAACCAGGACAGCTGGAGTGTCTTTACCAAACAGGGAGCAGGAAGATGGTGCAGGATGCTCCAATCTCCATCCTGGCTCACCTCTCCTGCCCAAAACCACCCAGACAAGCTGGCAGAGCCCAGGGATGGAGGTTGTTTTTCACACATCAGTAGCAGTGATATTAATAGAAGCTTCTCAACTGGCTTATAGGTCTCCAAATTGTTGCAGTCAGTAACGTTCACCACTGTAATTTATTTTTGCAGGGCCCCAGTGCCATGTATTTGCTTCTGTGGCAGTTGCTCCAGCTGGATAATTGGAAGAGAGCAGTTTATAGCTCCTTGTCCCTTATCTTCACCACTGTGTTGGCACAAATCAATGCATGGATTGCATTAAGTGTGTGCTGGAGCACAGGACTGGCCACGCTGGCCTCCAGCACAGGAGCCTGGGCAGCAGCAGCACCAGCAGCTCCCAAGGAATTATTTGCTGCTCTTATCAATTTCAGGTCTTGGGAAACCACTGTGCCTTTCTGGAAGCTGAAGGTGCCCTTGGCAGGCATTAAAATTCCAATCAATAGAAACAGCAGAACGAGCTCAGCAATGTGTTCCAGCTCAAGGAGGACCACGGTGCTCCAGCACTCCCTCCCCTCCACACTTCTGCCACCCTAAGAAATCCAGAAAATAATGAAGGTTTACATTATTTCTGTACAGTTGGGATTTTATTTTTAGTTATTTATGTTTTATTTTCAACCATATGGTTGAAACCTATTTACTGGATAATCTCTCCCACAGATCATTTTAATTATTCTGTTGATGAAGCCAGATTTAATTTCAAATTCTAATGCCTTTTCTGTCTCTGTCATTCTCATACTATTGGTTTCCTTCTAAGTTGTCTTTATTCCCAGTGTAAAAGTGGTTTTTAGCTGATGTGGACTGGATTGACCTAGAGACAACCTTTGGATCAGGACAGTCAATCCACCACGGGCTTTGGCACATCTCAGGGAGCTTGTGCTGTCTTTATTTCCCTCCCTTTCTAAGCTGAAAGCTGTGGCCACTGGCTTTACAGTCTGAGCCCACAGACATCCTCTAACCCCAGGAACGTTACAAAGACTTCAGGAGAGACTTGCCCTGAGTTCTCCAAACCCCCTCCCCAGAGAGTCCCCAGGCACAGTGAATCCTCATCTGGTATCTCAGCAATTCCCTCCACACTCCTGTAAACAACCAGCATTAAAACTGACAGATAATTGTACAAGGTAACTGATTTTTTAAAAAATAAATCAGACCATTAAAAGCTCTCTGCGACTCATTGATTAGGAGGCCTTATGGTTATGTGGCTCTTTTTGCTGAGGGTGCTTTTCCACAGCCAATGTTTTGTCCTCTAATTTAAATCCAATGTGTTAGAAGTTAACAAATAATTATTTGAACACTCGGAAATTTGTTACAGTTAGTTGAGAAAGTAGGAAGGACTCTCACTGCTATTGGTAATTCCCAAATTTTCTTTGCAGACTTATCTGCACTAAACGAGAGGAGAGGCTCATTTCAGGCCACTGAGGTTCTCAAACTGCTAATTGGCTTGCAAGCAATCAACCCTTCATCCACCACTTTTAGCAGTTTGGGTGCAAAAGTTCTTTCAAGACACAGAGTTCAGTCTGCTCTCTCCTCTGAAATACACCCTCAAACTGTTTCCTAACCAGATGCCCAGGAAGACATAAAAATAAACCACATTTCCCATAAACACATGCATTACTTCAGAACAAAGTGCTGGTTGCTGAGTATGCACTTTAAACCACTACAAAGTCAAAAAAGGAGCTACTGACTCACTGTTGAATGTTCTGGGTTGCCTGACACTACTAACAGCAGAGGTAACAACAAATAAAAATACAAATCTCTTCTTGCACAGGTTAATGCAACTGTTCTACTGATAACCTGGCTCATGGTCACTGCTAATATCAGAGAAAAATCAAAGAAGTTAAAAATATCCATTTAAAAAAAAAAAAAAAGATGACACAAGATAGTTTAGCACCCTTACAGAAAGAAAGGTCATCTATTTTAAACATAGCATTTGTAAGAGAGAATCTGTGGGTCTGCGTTGTCAACTGGAGATTTCAGGTCCACAGAGAGCAAAGACACGTCTGAAATTAGGAGATAAAAGGATTGCTGGTTTCCTAAACTGAAGTGTTGGGTTCTACTCTAGGAAGAGCTGACCTTGTCAGGGTTTTGATCAAAACTCTTCTGGGGACAAAAGACCTTTAAAAATGCTGAAAACATCCCTCCCTAGCCTTCCTCCCCCATTTTTATTTTGCCACTGTGGCAGCAAATGTACGAAGTTGCCAAGTGAACACTTTGCATCCCCCTAAAGAAGCATTTCCACAGCTGACAGAGCTCCCAGAGCAGCTCCCTGAGACAAGGGCATGGAGGGGCAGGACAAGGGGAACAGCTTCCCACAGCCAGAGGGCAGGGATAGATGGGATACTGGGAAGGAATTCTTGGCTGTGAGGGTGGGCAGGCCCTGGCACAGGTTGCCCAGAGAAGCTGTGGCTGTCCCATCCCTGGAAGTGTCCAAGGCCAGGTAGGAGCAACCTGGGCTAGTGGAAGGTGTCCCTGCCCATGGCAGGGGGGGAAATTTAAGCTTTAAGATCTTTAAGATCCCTTCCCACCCAAACCATTCTGGAATTCTATAATGCTGCAAGGCCACAACTGCCCTGCCCTCTGCCAGTTCTGCAGGAGGAGAAGGGATTTAAAACATTTGTCTATTTGGTTGGTGTGAACCTTGAAAAGTGCACAAAGGAGACTCATCTTTATGGATGACAAATATCTGAGAGTGTGCTACAGCTGCACAGAGCTCTGCTGTTCAAAGACACCCAGAAAGGACCCCCCATGGCCCCAGCAGCACATCCCTCTGCCTGGATCACTGCAGCAACACCAACTCACCCAGAGTCTCCAGCAGCAGCTGGAGATGGATGGAAGAGGTCAGGCAGACCTGGAGCAGTATAACAAAAAAAACCAGCAGTGCATAATCACTTTGGTCTGATCTATTAGTGCTTATTTTTCAGCTCATGCTCCGTCTGCCATATCTGCAAGTTGCCCGTCAGCAACTGTGTTACCTCCAACCCTGAACTGAGCACGATAGATCTGATTCATGTAGCCCACTGCAGCATCCCCCACTGCTGGGCAGGATTCCCGGGAGCAGATAAATATTCCTCAGTCAGTAACATATGCATTTAGAGATAGAATATGTCCTGTTGAGATCAGTAGGAGTTTTATCACCGACTTTGTGAAAATGAGATCAAGCCCTTACTTGGAATATAAACGATGACTGAAAACTGCCAAACTCCCACAGCACATCATAAAACTCGGTATCAGTAACTACCTGCAGCCCAGCTCTGAGCAAATCTGACCTTTGGGTGTGTGGCTGCATCACTTCCATCACCCAGCACATGCCTATGACCTGCTGTAATCCTGCTCTGGACTGACTTCATGCTTTGACGGATTGTTTGCTTAAAAATCCCAGACTTTTAGTATCAATTTTAGAGTCTTATTCCACTGTTTAATTACAAGAAAATCTGTGTGGCTTCCAGGAAGCAAAGCACTGCAGATCCAGGCGTT